ACCTCAAATAAATACCCCAAATAAATACCTCAAATAAATACCCCAAATAAATACCTCGAATAAATACCTCAAATAAATACCCCAAATAAATACCCCAAATAAATACCTCGAATAAATACCTCAAATAAATACCTCAAATAAATACCCCAAATAAATACCTCAAATAAATACCCCAAATAAATACCTCAAATAAAGGAGAGATTCTCCGTCCAGTTATCATAGATAAGTGAATGTACACGGTGTGATAGCTGTCAGCTTTTATATCACAGTATATCGCTGCCACTCTTCCCACCACACAGAGCCGTCATGTCTGCAGCGACTGTTTCTGATACTAACTTCCTGTAAAGACAGACTATTTAAAGACACAGTGACATCTAGTGGATGTTTGTAGCATAACAGACTCAAACTGAAGGGTAGAGACAGCTCAGTCAGGTCGACTTCAGAGACTCAGAAGGAGCTCCACCAAACTGTGAGCTCAAGTTGATCGATATCTGTCGCTTGTTTTATTCTTTGTCTTACTTTTATTTGGCGGCTACTCCGTTTGAAGCTACAGTTCCCATAATGCTTTTGGGAATGTAAACAGGAAGTGTAATGTTGCTGTGAGTTAAACTTTGAGCCCTGTTGTTTTTAATCTGGTGAAATAGTCTCGATTCACAGTGAGCTGAACGATGTGAGAGCAGCTCCTGTCTGCAGTGAGCCTACTGATGTACAGGCGTCTGTGACACTGCAGATAATATCAAGACATGAGGATCCTCAGGGAGGTTCCTCTGGTTTCTTAGTGGATTGGCAGGTGTTTATTCTGGACAGACGTCAGAGAGAACGAGACGTCACACTGATATAAACATGTTTCTGTGTGTTCACATTTCACTGAGTGATGAAGAAGAGGAGGAGGAGGAGTTCTGACTGAGTGAGTTGGTGCTAACATGCAGTATTCTGTGTGTGTTGACCTCTGACCTGCGGAGGCTGCGAGCTTCGTAAAGCGTCTCGTCCTCATCGCTTTCCACCGCATCCATCTCCACGGAGTCGTCGTAGTTGGACAGCAGGCCGTACTTCTTCTTGTAGGTGGGTCGCTTCAGCCTGACAACCAGGTAGAAATCATCATTACCAGACTCTAATGCTGGTGGAGGGAAATGATTCAGCGTTGTGTTTGGTGGATCAGACGCATGCTGAACTAAAGAGAGGCTCCAACTGCTTCAGAAAACCACCTGAATCATGTTGACAGAGTGTGTGCGGCTTCTGGTGAGAGACAGAGTTTAAACTGTGAGGTTCCTGGGTGGAGTTTGGTGTGACGGCTAAAGGGGCCGTTATGGAGGTATGGTTAGTTTTAAGTGAAAACAGATAAACTGATTTAACTAAACTGATCAAGTGTCAAACCTTGACTACATAAAAATAATCTTGAAGGATAAATTCATCATTAAAATATTTGCTTGGTGGGCTGAACGCAGCGATGAATGCAGAACTAAAGAGTAAATCCAACAGCGTTAGAAAAACACATGACTCACATTTAACGTGTGTACAGTAGATAACGGGAGAGAAAGCATTAAATTACTTGGTTTTTTAAATGGACTTTGGTGTGATGTCTGTCCACAGGTAAGACAGGCAGTCAGTGAGGTGACATTACAGTTGAGATAAGGAGGTACAGACCTCGTACTGTACGACCACTAATCAAATTTTCTACAAATCTCTCCCTGTGGTTCTGTTCCTTCCACCTGCCAGTCACCTGGATGTGCAAAGACACCACACCAAACTCCATGGATAAATCTGCTGATTTAATGCTCCTCCTCTTATCAGCACTTCGACATCGTCTGTTAAATGTGATGCATGTGATTTTCTAAAGCTGCAGGAGCGACTCTTCAGCTCAGCTTACATCTGAACCAAGAACAGCCTCAGTGATGTTCACAGCTTGGACGAAAATAAACAGATATTGCAGGTAAAGGGAAGAGTTTATTGTATTTTGATGATGTGTAGATTTGATCATTTGATGAATGCTGTTTGACTCAATGTCCATATGTTGTAATGAAAGTATATTTATGGTTATTCTCTGTGTCCAGCTCTGATGCAGAGGCACCACTCTATAAATAGCTACTACACAACATGTTTGATTGACTTCCTGAGAAACTAACTTGGTGAGGGAGGATGGTGAGAGTTAGGAGGAGGTTCACATGCTGAATTAAAGAGTGGCCACAGACATGATACTAAAGGGCATAAATCATCTTTCACAGCATATACACACCTGCTGATACTAGAGGAAGAATTAAATTGATAGGTTTATGAATGAGGTTTGGTTTAACAGCAACAAATCTATTAGTTTTGGGTTAATATAATATTTGGCAACTGTCTTTATGTAGTTTTGAACATCTTTTATCTGAGCTGTGCCTTAAACCCATCATATTTAATATCACAGACATTACACTAAGCTCTGCTTCTTCCTTTACACACACACACAGTTTGGACGCAGTACCAAACTCCATTGATAAATCTAGTGATTTAATACTTCTTCTCTTACCAACACTAACACATAATGTATTAACTGTCATACATGTGATTTTCTGAAGCTGGCAGTGACGCATTTCCGTTCGGCTTACATCCCGTCTGAGAATACAGTTAATCTTTCTATAATAATAATAATAATAATAATAATGTTTTTAACATTATGGGAGATAAATGTCAGGACCAAAGTTAACATGGTGTTTAGTTCAGGTGTTCACAGAGTTGTAGATTGTTCGTTTTACTGAGCGGAGTCAAACAGTTGTTCTCACCTCACGGCTCGGATCAGGAAGTAGAGAACTCCGATCATGGTGATGCCGATGAGGACGTACAGGGCCCTCTGGATCATCGAGCTGTCCACATCGAACCCGTTAGACAGCCCTCCGATACCCTTCCCGCCGCCGCTGTGTGTGGAGTTCAGCCCGCTGGAGTTCGTCACGGCGGGTTGGATCGCCGCGGTGCTGCCAGGGGCCGCTGAAGTCACATCCTCCGCCGCGGACACGAACAGCCAACAGATCGGTACAAGAGCCGCCGAGAGAAGTCTGTAAAAAGTCATTTTAACAACCGGAAACTGTCCGCGCGGACTGAGAGGAGAAAGCAATGGCGGGAGAGTGTGGCGTTTTTCACCGGAACCGAGAGCAGACCCGGGTTTTCCAGATACACGTCGCGTTGGCTGAACTCTGTTGATATCATAAAGTAAATCCAAAACTAGGAAGTTCACATCCACCTACCAATGACGTCAGGCCTGTCTGTGGAGCACGTTCTCCCTCAGTCTGACTCGTAGGACTTTCAGGTAACTCCTGCCAACCAATCACAAGCCAGACACCTGCAAGGTCAGATCCGGGGTTTAAATAACACAGCACAGCAAGGAAATGTGAATCACTTTATTTTATCCAAAATTAGATTCTTTTTTTAAATTAATTTTTAGACCAGATTGAGCCGAACTGATGAGCGGCTCCTCTCAATGCAAGAAAATATATAGATCACATTTTACAGACAATGTAGAAGTGTTATGAAGAGAAGAAGCATTAAATCACTACATTTATGAGAGGAGTTTGGTACAGCGTGTGTTTACATACAGGTGAACAGAAGGTTGTTGTTTTTAAATGAGTCAGTTTTTGCCTCAGTTCAGATGAGGAGGTTCAGAACTCCAAAAGGAGGAGTAAGAATATCTACTGATATAAGAGGTCATCAGTGAAATGACTTTAATCACTAAATTGTGATATTTATGGATGGAGTTTGGTGTGGGGTCTGTCCAGGCACAGGTGAATGACAGGACGTATGCTGTTAGGAAGGTAACGTTAGTTTTCATCACAGTTTATGAGGAGGAGCTAAACCATCAGGATATCAGTGTTACTGAGGGTTTAAATGACACATGTAGTTGTCAGTAAATGCAGTGAAGATTAAAATGACCAAACGTGAACAAAGTGAAGAAAATACTATGCAAAACCAATAATTAGTGTCCAAAATAATGAAATAATTTCAAACATTTTCAGATCAGATATGAGCTGAACTGAAGAGCGACTCCTTCAGCTTTAGAAAAACATATAAATCACATTCTTCAAAGTAAGAATTCCTCTTGATATGTGAGATATCTTTAAATTGTGAGATTTATGAAAGGAGTTTGGTGTGGTGTCTGTCCAGGCACAGGTAAACCACGTTGAGCTTTTATCAAGGTAATGTTTTGTCATACTTCATGAGGAGGTGCAGAAATGTTGGCATTAAACGTGTTACCGATAAACAGTTTGAGAATTATATATATTTTAGAAATCTATATATATTTAAAAAGGTCAGAATAATTAGAGGGGATCAGCTGTGTGAGATGCATGCAGAGTGATTCTACAGAGTGTACCAATGCTGAAAACAAATAAACCATCACATGGCTGAATTTAAAATAGAGTTTGGTGTGAATTAATTTATACAGCTGATAAATGATAAATAATAATGATGGATCAGTTGGCTTCATGCCAAACTCCATTAGCAAATCCAGCTAATTAAATGCTTCCCGTCTGATCAGCAGAGGGATATGTGCTGTAAAATATGATTTATATTTTTTGTAAAGTTTTAGGAGCCACCCTTCAAGTCAGCATGCATCCTTTCCACAGAAGATAAAACTTTATTGATCTCCAGAGGAAAAACAATCGCTTGTCCCAGCAGCACAGAGACAGACTGAGAGCGAAGAGACAAATTTGACTGAAAGAAATACAGATAAATATTGATAATGATGATGCAAACTGTTCTCTGTCCTCAGCCTGATCAATCCGCAGATATCCAGTTACACGTGACCTTCGGCCAGTCTCATTTGTAATTGATTGTATAACCAAGTCCAAGTCATGTGACCTCACCTCAGCTGTATACTGGAGAGGTCAAAGTTCACCATCATGCTGAATCCTTTCTTCATGACGGCCTTTTTCCCTCTGATTTTACAAACCTCTGCTTAATAACTTTTCATGTAAACATCACAGAAACACGTTCAATATCTTGAATTAAAGAAAACATTTTCTTTATTTATACAGGCCTGTTTAATCGACCCTTTTAGGTGACGTCATGATGATGTCATGTTATCAGCTGGAGGTGCAGCTGCCTCTCCCCCACAGGGCTGTAGGCTCCATAGGAGTGTTAAAATGTGTTTGTCTTGTTGTGTTATTGGGAGCCAGAAAAGAAGGAGTCATGGCTCAAAACCAGCCGCCACTGCCCGTCAACAAAAACAAAGACAACTATGGTTAAATGTGATAAGACCAAAGGACTGGACGGAGGCCATCATCAAAAATGCTCACATGTGACAGTGTCCAGAGTGCGCTCTGCTGCTCCGTCTCCACAGACAGTGTCCAGAGTGCGCTCTGCCACTCTGAGAGTGCGCTGCTCTGGATAACCCAACGCTACATTCAGACAGCGCTCCCAATTTATCAACGCTCCAGTTTGTGTCAGAGTGCGCTCCCACACTCACAATGAGTGTTTCTGAACGCACCACTCACATCATCTTCCTCCATCGTCTAAAACAAGACAACACAACTTGTTAGCTAGCGCTAGCTAATGTCTGTGGAGAACTGTTTTGCCTCCAGCTAAGCCCCGCCCACCAAAAACCACCACACTGTTCACTAACAGTTAAAGGGTCCATATTTCCTTTTGTGAGCCAAAATCTCGCAAAACTGGCTAAAATGTGTTTTTTAATTTTTTGTTCCAGATTGTTTTGAACAGCCAAAGAATGAACAACAGATGCAGCGTCTCTCTGAATATCACTTTTTTAAAATCCCTTCTTCACGAGTCATGACTGAAATATTCATATAGTTTAGTCACTCATAATACATTTTTCACCTGTTTTTTTGGAGGAGTTTTTCCTGATCAGCTGTGACGGTCCAAAGGACAGAGGGCTGTGGTCTGCTGTAAAACCTCTGAGCCAAACTGTGATCTGTGATATTGGGCTTTATAAATAAAATTGAATTTAAATTCTTGTTTGTAGAAATCTGCTGCCTCTGCAGAGTCTGCAGACGGTCATCCAACAGCAACAACACCTCCATCACAGAGTCAGCACCACCTCTGTTTAACCTGAGAGACAAAACCCAGGGTCAACACATAAAAAAGTCTTTTTTCATTTAAACATGCAGGAAGTTCACACCTCACAAAGTACACATGGTGTGTGTTTCATCAGCTAATAAGGAATCTTTAGACTGACTCTGACTCACTGTAGGCCAAATAGACAGTAATTAAATAACAGATAAATAAAGTCTTTCACATTCACTGTTAACTGAATGAATACATTATTTATAGAGAGGTGGTGGCGACGTGGCGTGTTTCTCCCGTCTGTTGCAGGTCACAGCTGGACTCCGTGAGAACATCTGGACAGCTTCAGATCTCTGCTGATCTTGGTGGTGGTGGTGTTTCCTCCGTCTCTGCGTCCTGATGATTTCTCCATCAGCTGTAATCCTGAGCAGCAGCAGCAGCTGTCTACCTGCCTTTTTAACTGATGAGCACTGAGCACGCTCACATCTGGACAGATGACATCACTCGGAGCTAATGATTACACTCTCACCTGTTCATCCTGATGGTCTCACACACACACACATACACACACACACACTTGTTAATGCTGACATCACACTAACACTGTTGTCTGCACCAGGAACACGTCTAGATTTAATTTAAAACAAAATATATGTATTTTTTTAGAGATTAACTCTATTTTAAGATGTTTATGTGTGTGTGTGTGTGTGTGTGTGTGTGTGTAAATATATATATCAGTATCTGAAGTTAAAGTTGTTGTTATCACAGGCAGCAGAGCTTTTGTCCACACGAGGGCGCTGTGGTGTTTCTACTGCAGTGAATGGACTTCAGTCAGCTGTATGAAGGAGTGTCACAGTCCCCATAGTGTATCCCCACAGTGTGTCAGAGTCCCCACAGTGTGTCAAAGTCTCCACAGTGTGTCAGAGTCTCCACAGTGTGTCAAAGTCCCCACAGTGTTTTACAGTCAAAGTCCCCACAGTGTGTCAGAGTCCCCACAGTGTTTGTGTTTACTAATATTTGTTGGGTAATATCAGCTTTCAGATATTTGGCTTACATTCTTTCAGATGAATTATTAACTTTTGTCCAGTATTTTACTAATATTTTGGACTTTTTTAAAAGATATTTTACAAAATGTAGTCAGATATTTTACTAATATTATCAGGATGTCCAAATAATATTTTTTAAGGAAATTTTAGTCACATCTTTCCGATATTTTACCGGTCAATATTATTTCAGATGTTATAAAAACATATTTTGGATGTTTTACTTAAATATTTTTGGATACTCTACTAAATATTCTACTAAAGTTTTTCACATATTTTACTTTTTTTTTTGGACTTTGGACTTTACTTACATATTTTGGATACTGTAATAACATTTTTCTTTATATTTGGCTCACATTTTTTCAAATATTTTATTAACTTTATGTTAATGGGTATGTTTTTTAGATAGCTCACTAATATTTTCAAGATGTTCTACTAATATTTTTTAAGATATTTTACTGATATTTTTTGAATATTTTATAAGCTAATATCTTTTTTCTGCTGTTGTAACATATTTTGGATATTTTACAGGTATGTTTTTGGATATTTAATGGATATATTTTGGGATATTCTAATAATATTTATGGGATACTTTACCAATATTAGTCAGATATTTTACAAACATAAACAGTTTATTCACTAAACCTGATAAATCCATGGGCAATTTTTACAATGGATTAAAAAAATGCATCTGAAAAAAACAGACTCAGTGTGCAAAGACCATAAGTTAATTGGACCTAGAGGCTAACAAGAACTAGAAGCTAACTCTCAGTCAGCTGGATCCCTACAGAGATAGAGCTTTGTGTTGAAGATAAAGATCCAGAAACAGCCCTGAAATCACCGTCACCAAACCCACCAGACTCCATTTAAATCAACAGTCATGTTAGTGTGTATAGAGGCAGCATGTCGTCACATCTAACTGGTGAGTTAAGGGTTAATTTAAACCAAACCAGAGCTGGTGATTGTTGGAACAGTGGAAAGATGAACCAAGATGGTTTTTGTGAGTCTTATTTTGTTTCTGTCGACTTTAAATGAAGTGTGTTTGACAATGATATATTTACTCTTTATTTAAATGGAGTCTGGTGGGTTTGGTGATGGTGATTTCAGGACTGTTTCTGGATCTGACTCTTAAACAAATCAATCAATCAATTTTATTTATAAAGCCCAATATCACAAATCACAATTTGCCTCACAGGGCTTTACAGCATATGACATCCCTCTGTCCTTATGACCCTCACAGCTGATCAGGAAAAACTCCCCAAAAAAACCCTTTAACGGGGAAAAAATACGGTAGAAACCTCAGGAAGAGCAACTGAGGAGGGATCCCTCTTCCAGGACGGACAGACGTGCAATAGATGTCGTACAGAACAGATCAACATAATAAATTAACAGTAATCCGTATGACACAATGAGACAGAGAGAGAGAGAGAGACAGAGAGAGACAGACAGACAGTCCTAACAAAGAGCTCTGTCTCTGTCTCTGTAGGGATCCTTTCATAATGTTGTCAGACACTGAGGAAAACACTCTGAGCCTGTCAGTGACAAAAACAAACACTTTTAGTGGACGGACACTGAGGAGAGTGGTGACATCACTGCTGTCTGTACCGGACCAGTCTCAAAATCTACTGTTCCCATTTCAGTCCTGTAGACACAAAAACATGAACATGAACAGAGTCCAGGTTTAAAAACACCAGAGTTAGCCTTTAAGGTAAAAAAGAAGAAGAAAAAAAAAGTTGTTGCTTTTCTGAAAAGTCCTCTGGTCTGGACTTTAAACAAAGATCTGATGAGCACACTGAGAGGAGGTAAATAATAGACTGACAAAACTGTAAATATGGAGACATTAAACATTCTGACGTGTGTGTTAATAAACGTGACTGAAACTATTAAAACATGTGACAGACCTTCTGTTTGTCAGGAAGAATTAAATGAAGAAGAAATAAAAACGGGAGAAACGCGCGTGTGTTGGTGTGAGAGTTGCGGGTTTGATTCCCGCAGGATCAAAGCCTCCAGATGTCACGCTAATGTACATTTATGTATTTAGGTTATTTCTGTATTTAGGTTGCTGACAGAGGCTCCGCTGACTGACAGGCCCGCCGTCCAATGGGAGCGCGGCTCGGCTCTCCTGCGGGGCTGTGATTGGTCGGCGCGGTGACAGAGGGGCGGGGCTGTGAGATTACAGCAGCATCTCTCTCTCTGCAGATCCAGCGGACATCTGGAGCTGCCCTGCCCGGGAATCAAACCTCCGAGCTCCGAGCACCGACATCCCGCACCGAGCCTGTCCGGGTTTCGCTGTCTGTTTCCCGGTGAAAACGTCTCCGGGCTACGGTGTTGTTGTCGCGGCTCTCCGGGCTGGATCTCCGCTGGGAGGCTGCAGCGCTCCGGAGGGACGGACGGACCGTTTCTGCCGGTAAAAACACGGAACTACGAATAAAACCCGGGAGGGGGGGTGATGGACTGAAGTGATCCGACATCTGAGAGGGTTTTAGGCCCGATGGAAGCTGCGACACATCCGGACCCGGTGCGTCTGGATCCCGGTTCCCACTCCAGTCTGGACTGAGGACTCGTGCTTGTCTCTCGGGATTTGAAATAATTTCTCTTCTTACAGTTTTTCAGTTTTGATCTTTGCTCTGATAAACGGTCCTGATTGAGAGTTTGAGGGTGCAGGCGGATCCTCCTCCTCCTCCTCCTCATCCTCCTCCTCCTCCTGCTGGTCTGGATTAGAGCCCATCAGGATCATGAATCATCCCCCCTCTGCTCCTCTAATCTGGGCTTTACCGAGCTGGATTTAAATCTGAGATCTGATCTGGATTACTCTGCTCCTGGATCTGATCGGGTCACATCTGACCCGGTCTGACCCGTCCCTGGTCCTGGTCTTGGAGGGATCTTGGACTCGGTGCTGGCCCTCTTGGTCCTGGTTTTGGGGAGTTCTGCTGTCACCATGCCAACGTCCCGGCCTGGTTCGGCTCCGGTGGAGTTCTGGGTGGACGGGTCGAGGCGGGACGGGGCGGTGGAGGAGTTCTACACCCTGAGCTCCGAGCTGGGCAGGTCTGGACCACATTAATAGGGGGCACAGGGGTAAAGTGACACACGGGTGGTGGTGAGCTCACATGGACCCCTCATTGGACCAAAGGGGCCCACATGAGGGGTCCATGTGATCCTCCTCAGGTCCTGAATTATCTATAATAAACACACCAAGGGGGCACAGCAGTGGTCATGTAGAGGGTCTGTGGTGGACCACACCTCCAGGACACCAAACCGCCAGTTCGAACCAGCAGCAGGGGTCGTGATGGGAGGGTCGCGTACATATGGAGGATGAAATAACCCTCAGTCCTGTCCTGTCACATCATAAATACATTAACTGTTATTAGATATCAGACTGTAAAGTTCTCACAGGTTCTACTTCCATTTTGTCTCTGCAGCTGGAAGGATTCTTCATGTGTTTAAGGTGGGAAGGAATTCTTTGTTACAGAGGTCACCGTGTCACAGAGGTCACATGACTCTGTTTAATGATTATTAAAGACATGTATAGCTGCAGAAATATTCTGTTTGTAACGTATTGGACACGCCCCTACAAACCACGCCCACCACTAGTACAAAACAAACCCACCAATGAGACAGTTATCTGAACCCTGTAAAACTTTATAGCTAGCAAATTGCTAACTTAGCATTAGTATAGGTAACTTCCCATTACCCTTACTCTATCCTTAATCACCTCTCTTTTAACGGAAAACATCATAGCTAGCTAACTGCTATCTTAGCAATTTCGTCGGGACTTCTGCTTCCGGGTCAAGGACCGAGGGGGGCTGACCATGGACTGATGTGTAGGTATGGTGGGCGAGTCATGTAGCTAGATTTTGGGTCATGTAGCTGCTCCAGCTGCAGTTTTACCCACTGTGATTATCTTCTGCTAAAAGTTAAACAGTCTTCAACTTTTAGTTTGGCTGTTCTTTGCCGCTGAATCAAATGGCTGCCACAGCTTTCCGTATACATTACATACCACTTCGCTGCTGCATGGTGTGTTGTCGGCGTAAGACAGCAGATAAGTGTAGTTTCAACAAAGTGCTTTATGAACAGAAAGATCTCTGTGAAGCTCTCAGCATCGTCTCTGTCCACAGTGCAAACTTTAAGGTTGGAGGTTTGCCATGTGTCTCTTCCTGAACCTAGCCACAGTAACTTTACTCAGCTAAACCTAACCTCTGTAACTTTACGTCAAGAACGTAACGTCATCTGTGGGGTGCTAACTCATAAGATATCATGCAAACCATAGACAAGAGGATACATTGAATGTTTACAGCAGAGGCTTTGTTTACGTAGAAATTAATACCATCAGGTCACCAGCAGGTGCTTTAAGGTATCCCAACTAATATGCCCAGTGAGTGATGGAATATTGTGAGCGTCTGGTTGCTATGATACAGAATATCTGCAGAAATTAAAATGTGTGCCCAAGATAGAGTACCTGCTCTGGATGAAGAGAGGACTGATGCATGTGAAAGGACAGGGTGAACCCACCTATGTAGGTGGGTGTGGTGGGCGGGCACTGGGGAGCGATTCATCCCAGCACTTAGAGAAAAATAAAGACTTAAAGAAAAAAAAAAAAACTTAAAGAAATACTCCCACCGCTTTTTTTTAAAACGATGTGCTCTGCATTGGTTTTGTTTCTATGCCAACAATATATTGGCACTAACATTAGTTTGATCGCTAACATAATGCGATGTTAACAGCGGGTTGACACAGATAACATCTAGCTTACAGAGGTCACAGTAGGGCATGGCGATATGGACAAAATTTCATATCTTGGTATTTACAGGTGATACACAATATATTTATGTGTATATATATATATATATATATATATATGTATATCGGTATTTTCTACTAAATGCGCTCCATGTTTTTAGCTGCAAGTGAAAGCTGACATCACAAGCAGTTGTATAAAAACAGACTGATCAAAATAAAACGCAGCGATTTTATTCCCGTGTTTGAAAATATAGAGCTGCACAACAGTTACACCTCCAGAACACTAGTTCGTGGCAGAAGTGCTGTAAAGTTTAGTTGATTCAAAACACACATTAAACACGTATTAAACACATTAAACACACATTAAAGACATCAAACACACATTAAACACAGTAAACACACATTAAACACACAAACACATTAAACTCACAGTAAACACACATTAAACACACAGTAAACACACAATAAACACAGTTAACACACATTAAACACATTAAACACACATTAAACACACCGTAAACACATTAAACACACAGTAAACAAACACACATTAAACACAGTAAACACATTAAATAAACACAGTAAACACACATTAAACACATTAAACACAGTAAACACATTAAACACATTAAACACATTAAATAAACACATTAAACACATTAAACACACATTAAACACATTAAACACACAGTAAACACATTAAACACACATTAAACACATTAAAATCACATTAAACACATTAAACACACATTAAACACATTAAACACACATTAAACACGCAGTAAACACACATTAAACACACATTAAAAACATTAAACACACATTAAACACAGTAAACACACATTAAACACATTAAATAAACACACAGTAAACATAGTAAACACACAGTAAACACATTAAACACACATTAAACTCACATTAAACACATTAAACACACATTAAACACATTAAATACATTAAACTCACATTAAACACACATTAAACACGCAGTAAACACACATTAAACACATTAAACACACATTAAACACATGAAACACACATTAAACACATTAAACACATGAAACACACAGTAAACACACTTTAAACACACATTAAACACAGTAAACACACATTAAACACATTAAACACACATTAAACACATTAAACACACAGTAAACACATTAAACACACATTAAACACATTAAATACATTAAACTCACATTAAACACATATTAAACACGCAGTAAACACACATTAAACACATTAAACACACATTAAACACATGAAACACACATTAAACACATTAAACACATGAAACACACAGTAAACACACTTTAAACACACATTAAACACAGTAAACACACATTAAACACATTAAACACACATTAAACACATTAAACACACAGTAAACACATTAAACACACATTAAACACATTAAATACATTAAACTCACATTAAACACATTAAACACACATTAAACACATTAAACACACATTAAACACACATTAAAGACATTAAACACACATTAAACACAGTAAACACATCAAACACACATTAAACACAGTAAACACACATTAAACACATTAAATAAACACACAGTAAACACACAGTAAACACATTAAACACACAGTAAACACATTAAATACACATTAAACACATTAAATACATTAAACTCACATTAAACACATTAAACACACATTAAACATATTAAACACACAAACACACATTAAACACATATTAAACACACATTAAACACATTAAATACATTAAACTCACATTAAACACACATTAAACATATTAAACACACAAACACACATTAAACACATATTAAACACACATTAAAGACATTAAACACACATTAAACACAGTAAAC